AAAAAAAAAAAAAAAGTGATCCCACTGATCTAAAACGCAACATAGGATTTCAGGGCACCAAGGAAATGCTAGAATATTGTGACTTTTCGGTCACTCTTGACAATACGTATGAATCCATACCTACACTACAGTATATGGACAAAAGTATTGGGACACACCTCTTAATCATTGAATTCAGGTGTTTCATTCAGACCCATTGCCACAGGTGTATGAAATCCAGCACATAGCCATGCAGTCAGGTTTACAAACATTTGGGAAAGAATGGGTCATTCTGAAGAGCTCAGTGAATTCAAGCATGGTGCTGTCATAGGATGCCACCTTTGCAATAAGTCAGTTCATGAAATTTCTTCCCTGCTAGATATTCTGCTGTCAACTGTAAGAGGTAATATTGCAAAGTAGAAGTGTTTAGGGACAACAGAAGCTCAGCCAAGAAGTGGCAGAACATGTAAAGTAACAGAGCGTGGTCGCCGAATGCTGAGGTGCATAGCATGTAAGAGTCACCAACGCTCTGCTGGCTCAGTAAGTGTAGAGTTCCAAACTTCCCGTGGCATTAACCCCAGCACACAAACCGTGCACAGGAAGCTACGTGGAATGGGCTCCCATGGCCGAGCAGCATGCAGGCCTCACATCACCAAGTCCAACCAAGTCATCGGATAGGGTGGTGCAAAGCACGGTGCCGCTGAACTCAGGAGCAGTGGAAACGTGTTCTGTGGAGTGACGAATCACGCTTCTCTGTCTAGCAGTCTGATGGACGAGTCTGGGTTTGTTGGATGCCAGAAGAATGTTACCTTTCTGAGTGCACTGTGCCAACTGTAAAGTTTGGTGGAGGAGGGATAATAGTATTGGGTTGTTTTTCAGGGACTGGGCTAGGCCCCTTAGGTCCAGTGAAGGGAACCCTTAATGCTTCAGCATACCAAGACATTTTGGACTATTCTCTGTTTCCAACTTTGTGGGAACAGTTTGGGGAAGGCCCTTTTCTGTTCCAGCATGACTGTGCCCCAGTGCACAAAGCAAGGTTCATAAAGGCATGGTTTGGTGAGTTTGGTGTGGAAGATCTTGACTGGCCCACACAGAGTCCTGACCTCAACCCCACTGAACACCTTAGGGATGAGCTAGAATGAAGATTGTGAGCCAGGTCTTCACGTCCAACATCAGTACCTGACCTGACAAATGCTGCTCTGGATGAATGGGCAGAAATTCCTACAGACACACTCCAAAATCTTGTGGAAAGCTTTTCCAGAAGAGTGGCAGCTGTTATAGCTGCAAAGGGGGGACCAACTCCATACTTATGCCTATGGATTTAGAATGGGACGTCACAAAAGTTCCTGTAGGTGTCCCTGTACTTTTGTCCATATAGTGTATATTTCACTTTGAAGTTGCTCACCAGTCAGTCTGGTGCCATTTATGTGTGAGGGTGTCAAGTGCCAAGGGACTGTAGGAGACATGCTGTTCTATTCATGGACAAGACATGTATGGAAAATGTACTATTTAATAAGTCAGTTTGTAGAAGAGGGTGAATGACTCAAAGCCACAAGCAGGAAAGAGCCACGGGATTCAATCCCACAACCTTCCAGACATGATTCTCTAACCTGCTGAGCCTCACACCACACGGCTGCTGTGCTCCAAGGAGGGCCGCAGTTAGGTGTTGATTCAGCTGTCCTTTTCTTTCCTTTATTTTGTTTCCCTTTGCTATCATTTTTCTTATGTTTTTTAGTTTTAGTCAGATTTAGGTTAGCAATAATTAATAGCACTGAAATGGGAGTGAGTGAAATGCGTGCATGTGTATACCCAAGCATGTGCGTCTCAGACAGTGATTCATCCCGAAGGGAATCCCGGCTGACTGAGCGCTCTAATGCTTAGCTGTCATTTGGAGTGCCCTCATTTTGACCTTAATATAAATTCCCTTTAAAAACAGCTGCACTCTCCAGCAGTATAGTACATTTGCTGTTCCTTGGTCCTTTGGCTACATACTGAACCGTGATAGCATGATAGCATCGGCGACTCCCATTTTATAGTTACTTTCAGAGGATTATGGTAATCCATTAGCATTGAAATCGGAGCACTGATAAATCATTCTTTGAAACCTCCTTGACTTAAAATGTTGGATGGGTTGTTGGCCTCGTAGAGAAATAACACAAGAAAAAACGACTGAGTCACGCTTTAGCATTATGATTGAAATCATTGAGAAAGTCGCAGGGATTTCACTATTTTCAGGAAGTCTGAACGTACATAATTACATAATTACTGATCATTTTCGTGAACATCAGCTACTATTCTGTGGTCTACAGTAATTAGAGTATAGATTTATGAGCTTAACAGTCCTCAAAGCTAATCTGTAAAAAACATTGTCAGCCCTGTCGTTATGGGCAGAGAGTTGGGCTGAGAAGATCTCTAAACCATAAGGTCAGCCTCAGTGAACTATTGTGTTGAGGTATTTCCACAAACCCCCTCAATTTTGTTATAACTTGTACTTCATTGAGAACTAGACCTTTTGAGTCTCCAAGGGATTGAGCTTGACGCAGGAGGTATAGAGCTTTGTGTTTCTCCACACACCGCACTGTGCGTTGGGATGGCGTGTGGGAGGGAGCAGTGGGTGGGGGGGGGGGGGGGGTCTTTTCAGTGAATCAGACGAAGAGGAATTCCCTCATGAATGAGAGCGCTTTCGCATCTGGGCGTGTTGGACGTCTGCCGGGACTTCTGGAGGACACATAAAAAGTCGAGCATCCCCACACCGTACATGGCAGCAGATCCCCCGGAGCTCACGTCCCTCGTCCCTTAGCGTCACCAGGGGCAATCCTCCACGTGTTCCCCCCTCCCCCCTTTGCCACATCCAGAGACGGAGGTGAGGTGGCTCTCTTGATGAGATGGACGCGTCAAACCCAGACGCTGAGGATTATTCTTGGCCGAGGGGTCTGTCTAGCATGACTTCCAAGTGTAATTTTCAGATTTTCGTGGTGAGGACTTGCAGCTGAATGTACACATATGTCCATAAATATATATTTAGTACATACATAAAATTTAATAGAAGAGATGGTTAAAGGTTTACTGGAAACAAAAGATGAAGTTAAACTATGTGTTTCTCTGATAATGATGGATAATCAGCGTTGCTGTTCCTAAGTGTCGGGTCCAGCAGGCCATTTGTAGGGTCAGTCGTGTCCACTGGGCTTCCTTGTCGTTATTGGCGGTTCACTTTCTGGGCGTGTTAGTTGCAGTCGCTGAACAATGGTGTCCACACAGCCGAAGAGAGAGGCTGTGTGAGTGAAGCCAGAACAATGGCCGTCTTCATGAGATAATCACGAGAGAATCTCCGCCGAAGTGCATTTAGCTGAAACTCCATGTCGTCTTAATGTAAAATATAAACATACTGTATGTTGGAGAGGACCGACAAACGCACATTTTCTCTCACAAACGCTAGGGGAGAAAGGTTCGTTTTTAAACTAAACGCCGAGGTTATTTTTCATCAGTGCCATTTTTATGTGCACGCGGCAGCGAATAAATCTGGGAACGTGCGTATATTTGATCATATTTCAGTTTGGCTCCGGCTGATTGCATGGGGCTCTCCGAGCCGAGGCCCCACAGTCTGCCATCTTCCCAGAGGCCTTTGCGGCGCTCCAGCAGGCAGTCATCTTTATGGGGGCTTCACACACAGACGCGCACATTCCTGGTGCTCACTGCGGCTCCCTACAGTTTCTCTGCCCTTCTTAGCCGCACAGGTAGCCGTTTTGTTTTCCTCGCCATGCCGAATGACGGAATCCGCCGTCTGATCCCCGCGGGCCGCCATTACGGCCCGAAGCCGCAGCTAGTCTCCAGCTACTTTGTGTTATGTCTATGAAGCTCATTATTTTGCTTTTCAGCCTGGCTGGAGGGAAAAAAAAAATAAAATAACAGCCCAGATCTGATTGAAAAAATCTGGGAAGACGGCAGGGTGCGGGAGGCGGGGGTGCCGGTGATTTCAGAATCCGGAGCGTTCGGCAGATGTTGCCGAGAGCCAATGGAACAATTTGTGGTTATCGGCTCTCCAGCTCATTCGGACACAAGAAGGTATCTCACATATGTGGCCTCGGTCCAGCTCATCTGGAAGGGAGAGGAACTCACACTGCTTTGTGAGTTCAGTCCCAAAGAGCAATTTCCCTGCCTGACAGAGCCCCTGAAATCACTACCTTCTCATTTCTGCCCCTGTTAGTTAGTAGTATGCGTTGATTAAACCTCCAGATGCATAAATGCTGTATAGAACTCAAGAGGTGTGTGTGTTTTTTTTTTGGGGGGCTGAAAAACCATGTTTACTCCTAGATAGCTGACAGAGTGGTCCTACATTTTCCTGCACAGGGACAGCAAGGTCCCCTCTCTTGGTGTTACAGATGGAACGGTGCCATTTCACAGCCAGAGAATGACAGGCACCTGCAGTCACTGTCGGCCGGGGGGTGGGGTGGAGTGGGGGTGGGTCACTTTTCAGTCTGCACATCCTGGTCATCCCCTTGCCTTCAATATTTTACTTATTTCTTGAGAGATCAGACTCAGGCAGTCCCTAGAGCAATTTGGCTTAAGGGTCATGCCTAAGGGTCTAACTGTGAAATCACTCTGCCAACCTTGGTGTGTGAACCTGGGACCTTCTGAACATAAGTTCTAACTTACGCAAGGCTAAAGCGTTGCTTGTAAAATCTATTCATTCACTATTCATTATGTTGTGATGTCTCAGTCAGACTGTTCCAGTGAGTGACTGGTAAGACGAAAACGACCATTACAAAGAAATATGTCTGACCGTTCATTTTGCTGCTCTGTTAGGTAATATCCAGTCTTCCCTGATCAGTTTGTTTCTCCCGACAAGTTAAGGGAGAATGTTAATGGAATCAAATAAATAGTTTAACGGTCCTTTCATGGGCGCAATAAAGGCTATATGAAGTTTAAAATGCAGAATGTCACTTAATGATATCCTGACTGTTTATCGCTGTGGGATTTTGGCAGCGTTTGTGAAAGCTAAACACGGGTGATTTATGAACAGCTGATTGCGTGACAGAGGTAGGGATCTTCCTTTGGCCGCGAGATGTGGCCCAGACCTTTAGCCGGATCCATATGCTTGGGGTCCCCCCCCCCACGGCAGCAAGTCAGACAAGAACGTGGCAGGAAATTAGCTCAGAGCAGTCCTGGCCCCCCCAGGCTGAGGGGCCTGTGACAGCACAGTGACGTAATCCCATTTTCTCTTTCATTTTTAGACAGTGATGTAAGAAAGCAGCTCATTGAGTGCCTTCTGCTTGTAATTCGCTTCTCTCTCTCTCAGCGTCTCTCGAATAAATTCAGTGCCTCTGTAGAGGTGTTCTATAAAAGATTGGCCCTTTTTGTGTATTTCAAGAAACCGTAAATTTAAGATGCTTTCAAAAGTTCACCAGTCCTTTTCATTTGTCTCACCTCTGTGTTTTTCTGTTTTTTTTTTAGATGGTCACCACATATGGGAAACTGAGGCCAAAGTTGACAAGGATTCCATCAAATCGGTCAGTCAAATGAAAATTGATAATTAATCCTCTCAGTTATGTATATTCACGGTAATCCATGTGTTTTTTTTTTACCAGTTGAGATACATTCTTAGTGTTGATTAATACTGATTGTGCTTTTCAAATGCTTATGGGAGTTTTACTTGCACAAAAATGTTCTGAAGGCAGAACGAAATATGATTGGCTCAAAGAGATAACCAATGAGATTGTAGAGGTGGGTCAAACAAATAGAAGATGCAGGACCAACCAATCAGATGTCTTGATGTTGCCCCCTGTAGTTGCTTTGATGCACCTCCTCTACAATCTGATTGGTTATATTTCTAAACCAATCATTTTTTGTTCTGCCCTTAGAACATTTTTGTGTAACTAAAACTCTCATGAGCATTTGCCTAAATATATTATTTGTGACTGTTAAGAGCGGTTGTTGAGGTTTATTGAGGTGTGAATTACAGTACAATCCCGTTATAACGGACTTTAAGGGATCTTGCAAAACAGGGCACGCACTCAGAGGAGTCCCTCAAAATGGAGTAGCTCCCTCTTCTGGTGCTATATGGGGGGGTGAGGTAGCTCTCAGGAGCAGAGCGAGTGCTGGTGAGTGTCCGTGTCTGGGGGTCCTGGGATCGCGTGTTTCTTCTCCGAAGAAGCCTGGGGGCATTTCCGGGCGCACGGTCCCCTCCTGTCATAGCAGTCTGCTGGGCCACTCAGCACCCTATATGGCGCCAGGCAGATTCCCCCCCCCGCGACACGTGACTCCTCCACCTCCATCCGGAAAGCCTCCAGAAGACGATCCCCTGTGCAGTCTGCCCTTTAATGTGTCATTTCATATTGTGTGTAGCATTTTAATGTAATCCATTTTCTACACAAGCTGCTAGAACTGGACGTAATTCAAGCTGCTGCCACCTCATTAATTTTCACCTAAACTGGGTTTTATTCTTATAAGAAAGGAGAGTCTCACGGCTCACTTTCCAAGGGCTGTTTTTATTTTGGGAATAATCCTCCTACTCATCTTTCATAAAGAGGAGATTCTCAAGCCTTCTATGAAGCAGAGAGACACTTCATTGTTGCGTGCGGCGCAGAGCCATCTGTGAGGCAGAACAATCAGCGCTTTTAGCCTTGTCGCCAAGCTGCAGCTCCCTGCTCCTCATCACTTACTCATTTTATTCGTTTATTTTTTCCTTTCCTCTTTTTTCCTTTTTATAAATCGGGAAGTGTCAGCGCACGTACAGAAAACGTCTTTGCTCACTACGGATGCCTTGGCTAGAGTGTTAGGGTTATGGTGAGGCTGTGAAAGGGTTAGGGTTAAGGTTAGGCTAAGAAAAGGTTAGGGTTAGCCTGGGTAAGGGTTAGGGTTAGGCTCTGGTAGGGTTAGGGTTGGGGTTGGGGTTGGGCAGAGTTTAGGTCACGCGAGGGGTTAGAAATTCGCTACTCGCCAGTGTCCGATAGTCGAGGCTGGGTGGCGGTCAGGAGGGGGCCTTCCTGTGAAAATAAGAAGCCTCCAGAAGAGTTTGGCTAAGGACTGAGCACATATGTGGCACTGTTCCTTGCCTAACCCTTTGACAGATATGTCCTTACGGTGAACGAGAGCCAATGAAATAGGCACCGGCCAGGGTGCAGACTGTGTACATCTCACACAGCCAGCTGAGTGGCCAAAGAAGGCAAAGGGCTCATTTTAAGCAGCAGTACATGCCACTCTGCGTTTCCTGTGCGTACTCAGAATGGCATCCCTTCATTTCGTTGCAGAGCGTGATGCTGGTCGAACTGCCACCATACCGAAATCAGAGGATATCCAGTCCCGTGCAGGTGAACTTCTATGTCTGCAACGGCAAAAGGAAGAGGAGTCAGTTCCAGCGTTTTACATACCTGCCCACCAATGGTAATGTCTCCATCAGGGTAACCTTTCATCTAAATATCACAACAGATACATGTGGAGGTCAATATAGAAAGGGGTTGGGCGATCTTATCCGCCAAGGGCCGCTGTGTATGCAGGTTTTTAGGATAAGCTTTAGGTCAGCTATTCAAACCCAGGTCTGAGCACTCTTCAACCAATCAGTCCTCTAATTAGCAATCTAATTAAAGATTTGCAGCCAATTATCACACAACCAATGGCCCTTTCTGGATAAGACTGCTCACCCCTGATATAGAGTATATAGAGTTATTTCTTTAAATTCTTTAAGCATATTTATCAGTCTCATGTAACCAGTTTAATCTAAGGTAAGATCAATTGTCACATTGGTCTATATTGGTGACCTAGATCAGAGACATGTGGTGACCCAGGGTTCCATGCTACTAGTATAACACGGTTCACATGCTGTCGACCGTATCATGTCAACCGCATGGTCACGATCGTCCCATTTCAGAGTCACCTTCAGAGTCCCTTGGGCCGTCTATCAGAGTCCCTTAGGTTCAAGAGTGTGTACGGCGTGATGCAGATCCCATCTTAACGGAACAAAATTTGCATTCAGGTTTTCCCCAGTAGGAAAGTTATCAACAGCTGTCCGCGGGGGCACTGATGTGGGGTTAGCATTCAGGTAATCTGGGAACCCTGGACTGGTATGAGTGTGCAGCGTAAATAATAACACCCGCAATGCCACGCCAGCAGGGCCCTTAGCAGCCAACAGAAGGGCAGCGGGATGCTTAAAATGAGATGGCTTGTCCGTTTTTGCATCCCAGGACTGTTTCCCTTTAGCATAAAATACCTACGCACTACAGATCTGAGCAAACCTCGGAAGCGTGCCATTTTCTTTGTCGTACTTTCCTATGCGGCCAAAGATAAATGCAAAGAATGGATTTTAAAACACATGACGAGGAAGGTGCAAGACATGTTAATTGCAGCATTTAAGCCTCCTTACAAATGAATATGTAACAGAAAATGGCATTAATAGCCCACAAAAAATTAGACGGGGTGTCATCAAAACTACGGTCCGTCTGTTCCAACATTATTTTTCAGCTGTATAACGTACCAGCTGCCACTGTCGCAGTCTCTGCTGCCTGTCAGCCGTTTCGTGCCGTCATACCACGGGGAAAGCGAATGGAGGTTTGATGCAGCTGCTTTTCTTGCTGTCCTCATTGGTTTTTGGTTTTAGCACATATCCGTCAGTGTCACAGGGAACTGTGTTTGATTTGCGGTCGGCGCTTGCAAATGGTCTGCCGACTGCTCTTGGCATGTAGACTGCCGTGTTACTGTCACATCGACTGGTTGATCGTACTTTTATTAGTTTTATTAAATAATATGGAGTTTTTTATGATTGCAACATCTGCTGAACATAGTAAACATAGAACATAGAATCTTCCAGTTTAATATGCATCATTAGAAACCATATGTCTTTTGAATGGATACTTAACTTGATGTTTACCAATTAAAAAAAGATATTGCCTTTTCTTTGGTTTGGCAGTTGGTTATGAATTTTGCAATTTGATGGTTTTTTTCCACTGATGAGTTGGAGAGTTTTGGTGTTGGAAGCGGAGGATTCTGTTTCCAAAGCTGATTTTCAGGTCATTCATTTAACGATAAATCAGCTATTGGACGATTATTTGCATTTTGTGTTAGGAACAACAAAATAAAGGGTACACAAAAAGCCTGCTTTTACTCTTGGTCTATACTCAGCTTTTCCAGCCTGTTTCCAGTAACTGCCGGGTGAATAAAATTGTGACGTGGCGTCCTCTTCGTTTATTTGAAATTAGAAAAAATTCACAACCACAAAAAACACATCTTAGAGGGCCTGGCGGCATGAACGCCAGCCGCGTCGGTTCTGGGAACGCCTCGGCCTTCGCAGATGGCATCCTTCGTGAAGGTGAAGGGAACAGAAACAGAGAGAGCCCACCGTCTGTCGGGAAGCCCAAATGGAGGGTGTGTTACTCATCAGGTCCTCGTACTGCCTTGGCTGCAGAGTAGGACTGAGAAGGAGTGTTTTCTACACAAAGGGCTGGAGGAGCTTCGGTTGTAGGTGAAACGACAGAGAGGCCAGGAAGAGCCGGTCCAGGGTCCATTTGTTTCCAAGATGACTGAAGTGTTTGTTTCTCAGTCAGCATGTGGTACAAGAAACTTAACTAACAATCGCCACTCCCTTTTTCTGTATTTTTATTTTAATTATAATAATAATTAATAATAATAATACTGTAATAAGTACCTACATACGGTACAGTATTATATTTTAAGCCAACGAACAACTGGCGTGCAATGTTTTTACAAGCATCACAAAGTTACGTTTGTTATTACGAACCACTGTATTTAACCCAAATCTTTAATATATAGTTTTATGGAAGTCCATTCATTAGTGTGAGTTGTCAATAAGTCAGATATTCTTAGATGTGGGACTGCCTAAATTATTATTATTAGAATTATTATATAGCTAGGGTGACCAGGTAATCCATGTCAGGGAGACACTTTGAGCTATTTCAGGTTTTACAAACTACTTTCAAACTGAAAGGCTCCTGTGTTTAGCTAAATAGTTCAGCTCTTCTTATGCTTTGACTGGTTTGTTTCCTTGACTGAAAGACTCATCCAGCTGTTTCACATTAGCATTAGTGACACGTGCACGATTATAGGAGACTGGCCAATTAGCGCACAGCGAGAACTCAGTGCTAAAGTGAAATCCAGGTCCTTTTAATTGAAATGTTAATTTACAATTCCTGGCCTAGGAGTGTCCTCCCTGATCTGGATTATCTGGTCACCCTATATATAGCAGATCTGATTGATTTATTAGTTCATTGTTATGATAAATCACTCTCAGGCTTTCTGTGTATTAGCTTACCTTAGTTTAGCTTGTCCTGTGTTCTTCCCACAGTGCTACCTGTCTGTATCATTAGCTCCCCTCAGTAGCATTAGCTCCCCTCTGTAGCATTAGTTCCCCTCTGTATCATTAGTTTCCCGCTGTAGCATTAGCTCCCCTCTGTCACATTAGCTCCTCTCTGTAACATTAGCTTCCCGCTGTAGCATTAGCTCCCCTCTGTAGCATTAGTTCCCCTCTGTATCATTAGCTTCCTGCTGTAGCATTAGCTCCCCTTTGTCACATTAGCTCCTCTCTGTAGCATTAGCTCCCCTCTGTCACATTAGCTCCTCTCTGTAACATTAGCTTCCCGCTGTAGCATTAGCTCCCCTCTGTCACATTAGCTCCTCTCTGTAACATTAGCTTCCCGCTGTAGCATTAGCTCCCCTCTGTCACATTAGCTGCCCTCTATTTTTAGTTCATCTCACTGTTGCCTCATTGCTGTGAGCATGTTAGCAAATTTATAAAAGGAAGTAAAAAAAAATCGCTTACGATAAGGAACTCACTGGCAGTAAACAGGGCCTTAAAACAGAGATGGGTTGTGAGGTGTTTTTGGACTTCTTTTCTGGTTTGTGAGGGCTTCACACAGCTTCTTAGAAACGTGTGCTGTCTCTGAAGGCCGTGCGGCTGTGTGCATAAAGGTGGGGGGAGGGGGTGCTGTGGGCCGGGTGGCCTGGCAGGCAGTGGTTCCTGTAGCACTTATAGCCAGGAAGTTCCCTCAGCACTGGGGCCAGCCTGGGGGGAGCCACGTGGACTATTCCCTCACTCAGACCGATTAGCTTACATTTCTCCCAGCTAAGCCCCTTTACAATGGGGCAGCATACGTCCCAGGCTGCTTTTGCAGTGATCAAAAAGGAAACGGTCATCGGGGAGCATTGACTAAAACAGTCTTTTGATCTCATTCAAAAAATACCTGTTACACTTCTGTCCAACTGCATATCAGATGTTGAAGGGAGAAATGAAAGCTTCTCAGTTGAAGTCGAGTCAGTAAAGCTGTAAGCTGGCAAGAACCTTGCGTGAACCTGTAAACCCCCAAAAGAGACGCACACCTGGCACTTGCCACCCGGGGTATTTACAGAAGTCCTTCCTCTATCATAACATCCGTTTTCCCCCCTTGTTCCAGGCCCACCCAGTGCAGCTTTCAGTGCTATTAGCAGCCCCAAAACACGGCAGCAGGTCCTACGGGAGTGATGGCACTCTCCGACTTAGTCATCTCTGTCGTCGTTCGAGGGTGCTTCACGCGCCGATAGACACACTTCCTCTATCCGAACACAGAAATAGACGAACACGTGCTATTTTAATGCTGCCGTTGCTGGGACTTGCCTCACTGCGGTCGGCATCTGAACGCTGGATGCGTCGAGTGACTGAACACTGTTGTTCAAGAACTTCACGGACTGATCAGTGCACTCTAATGAGGCAGCTGGCGGGAGGAGTAAACTCTTCACATTGTCTCATTGATCCTGCCGCTTTAGCGACTATGGCTGCGGTTTAAGGCCGTCGAAAGAGAAACGCATTAAGCTATCAACATAGCTAGAGTACCAACCAAGGAGCTAGTTCCTTATATAGATGGGTATAGTGTGTAGTTGATGTGACTATAACGTTTTATAGCTATAATGTTTTAATTCATAGCTGTCCAGCTAGAGTTGGTACCAGTAGCAAGGGAGGATCTGTTTCGTAAATAAATGGTTTTACGATCCGGTAGCATCAGGGATATCCTTTCTATTTTCCATTACAATTTTTCATTTAGCCCAATTGCCGGACGTTGATTCCGATTAAATTTGGGTTGTAGCAGAGGGAGGCAAACCAGGCACTGTTTGAATGCAGGGCGGCCCTGGGTGAGTCAGTAACTTGACACACCCACTGTAAATGGAACGCAAAGTCGCACAGAACACTAACCCCTCTGTCTGGGCTAAGTTGGCCAGAGGCGTTCTGGGATGCCCTTGGCAGCGGTAAGAAAACAGCCGCAGCGGAACGTTTTAAAGGTCAGGGAGGAGGTGAAGAACAGCGGCTATCAAAGAAAATGCTGGCCGTTAATGAACGCGCCGCGAATTCACACAGCGGTACCGCAAATTAAGCCCGAAAGCAAGAGCTGCGGAGCGAGCGTAGTAGAAAGCTGAAGCACAGCCAAGAGGTCGGCTTCTAGATGAGTAGGGATGTGTCAGGGTAATCACACACTGCACAGCTGTAGGGATGTGTCAGTGTAATCACACACTGCACAGCTGTAGGGATGTGAAACGTTTGTGAGTTGCCCATTCATAAATATCATGTCAGACATGGGCTGTTTTATCCATCCATACATTCTCTGTAATTACTTGTCCTATTCAGGGGAACAGAGCTTATAGCAGAATCTACAAGCACAAGACAGAGAACAACCCAGTACAGGGTGCCATAGCACAGCATGCTCACACTGGCAATTTGGTAACCTCAATTAACCTCTGCATGATTTTGGACTGTGGGAGGGAACCCGAATACCTGGGGGAAACCCCACGACAACAACATGCAAACTCCACACGCACAGAGCCAAGGCAGAGACTCGAACCCTGGGCCCCTGAGGTGTGAGGCACCAGTGCTAACCACTACACCATCATGCCGTCCCAGCTTGTGTTTATTAAAAGAATAAAAATCACCATAAGCATTTTAAAATCACTCCATAAATTTAAGGCCTAAGGCCTCAATGTGATTGGCTCACTCGTCCCTGTAGCCCCGCCCATAGCATTACCAGGGAACAAAGCCGTGGATTATATGGTCTTTTATTGATTTGGAGCCTGGCCAAGGTTGGAGTTTTGATCAGTGGCCAAGCAATCTGTGTTGACAAAAACTGGGGAGCAGGAGGGTAGGGAGGGGTCTGGGTGGTCTTGTGTTCGACTGGAGCCTCCGCTGGGTTAATTTATGTAGCCCTGTGTGCTGCTGTGCCCACCCAGGTCTGTCAGTGTAGTGTATCCAGACTTGGCTTGCGACCAAACTCAGGATAAAGGCCCATTACTCTGATTTTCATGTGGATCCTTGCGAATGATACCAGGCTTTGAGAACTGACCCTGTTTTGGTATCATGAGCCCAGTAAGAAGCATTACTGTGAACTTGCCTATTCTTTAATGTTTGTTTTTTTATTCGATTTGATACCCGACGTTTTTGTGAGAACCACTTATAACCCATAGCAGTAAGTGTCAGCTAAGTGAATGAGACGTATCATTCCTACACAACGGACTGAAATGCATACAGTTGTTTATTTTATCATTAAACTCTTTAGTAAAGACCTTGACCAAGGCAGGTCACAAAATTCTTATATTTATTTCTGTACTGCAGAGGTTATACTTTAAGTAAACTGATATCACCTATACAGAGCCCTAATTCTATCACTTAGCTGCACTGCGTTACTGTAAAGCTAGCTACACAGATTCCTTCAGTTAGATTCAGCCCACATTCATGCTTATAAAGTGCCTTTTCCTGAACATTTCTCCCAACTTGCTTGCATTTTAGTTGGGAATAAAATTTGTGGGACATCAATCCTGTCTGACCCCCCCCCCCCCCCACCATGAGCTACTACCACTTTCACTCACTGATAGCCAGCAAGCAACATTTTATCCTAGCGAGCGGTAATTTGCTTTTAAAAAAGTGGAACCCTTAGGTCGAGATCTCCTGCATAAGAATATTTTATATTTCTCTTTAATAGAATATTAGAGCTGGGGAATAATCCAAGGATAATAGGCTTTTTCAGTATTAGAAGCAGCTGTGATCCTCTTGCGCTGATGACTCATCCGTTTTTCTTTTTTTCTGGCGTTTTCCGCAGGGTGGGTGAGCCCAGCCTCTGACACAGACTCTCATTCAGAGGCTGTTTATTTGGCTGAGGGTATCCTAGCCACACACCCACTTAGTCAGTCACATGAAATCAGGACGTGTGTTTGTTCACTTTTTTTTTTTTCTTCTTCTTCTTCTTCTTCTTCTTCTTCTTTTTTTTAGTACCAATAATAAAAACGGAGCCGAATGATGACTATGAGCCCACACTGTGCAGCCAGGGGGAGCTCAGACTTCCGGTGACTTCTAAGGCCTTCTACAGCCCCCCCGTGGCCCCCTCGGCGGTAGCGGGAGAGCCCCAGCCCGGCCTGGGCGGGTACATGCCCTGTGCCCAGCGCCACGTGACCGTGCCCTCGTCCCCCAGCTCCAGCCCCAGGCTGCACGACCTGTCCGCGGCCTCCTACCCCAAATGCCTCTCCGCCGGGCCGCCGCAGCCCCCAGGGCTCCAGCCTTCTCTCCCAGGTGTGTCCCCAGGCGCCACCCCGGGCTCCCTTTGCCCCCTAGTCATGCTGCAGCCTCAGGCCACTTCCCAGCTCTCTGGGTCCTCAGGCGGCCGCCCTCACGGTTATCGGCGCTCCGCCGTTTACCCGGACAGCAGCCCCGCCTCCTCTCCCACCTCCCACCCCTCCACCCCTAGCACGGCGCCGGAGGTTCCGTTCGGTGTGGCCTACAGCCCGCCCCGGCCACCTAGCACGCTCGACCCTGTCACCCCCCCAGCCGGGAACGGCTCCTCTGCCCTGATGCAGGGGGCCGATCGCCCCCCCGCCCTGCCCGTCAGCGTCAAGCAGGAGCCCCAAGAGCTCGACCAGATGTACTTAGATGACGGTGAGTGACAGAGAACATCCGCCGTCCGAACCCACTCACGTTTCCAAACATAGATCCTTGCGCCACTGGCTAATCGCTCTGGGGTGTGTCCCAAACCCTAAGCCTAACCTAGTAACTTTATACTTAAAGAGTCATGCATGGATGTTTCTCCATCCAGATCAGTGCAAACAGAAGTCAAAACATGGTAAAGATATAGGCTTTATGCATTTGACGCGGAAATGGAGGGATTCATTTCTTGAAAAAAGAAACAAGTATGGTCTTCATAATATACTGCTCTGCAAAGGGAAAACGCAGTAACTGCGCTAATACTGAGAAAAAGGGATTCGGAGTTTTTTCGCTCTCCATCCATCTGCGTAGCAGGTAGGTAACTGATGGCGTTTTCTTCAAAACTGGTCACAGTCCAGCAGTGTAGGATTGGAAGTCTATGAATCTGCAGTGAAAAGATTAATTTGACGTGCAGTGCAGATTGTTACTCTTCATTTCTGGGTATATTACTATGTAGACAAAGTATTAAGACCAAATAAAGTAAAGCAGTATGATATTTTTCAGATGGCTCTTGCTCATAAGAGCTGCACCCACTGAAATCGCCAGCCTCTGCTGTCTTGCGTTGCGATGCGTTCCCAGGTTATTTTTCCGTTGTCATTAGTATTGAGTGATTTCAGACTTCAGGCCCCTTTCAGCCAGTGAAGAGTCTGCTCTGGTTTGTTTCAGGGTAACACCATTTCATCATCTCTCTCTCCGCTCTTTAGCGCTTATCCACAGTTTGCAGTGTGCGGCACAGCGCTTTTAATTCCCTTGTCAAACAGTAGGTGGCGATGCCCTAACACCCGCACTCTCCGGCCTGATTTCAGTGGCACATGTTATACTGTTTTTCTTCATCTGTTTTTTTCTGGCATCAGCTGCGGTTGTTTTTCCTGGCAGGCCTGGCTGTTACTGATTGCACACGCACTCCGCTGCTCTTTTCCAAGGGGTTCCAAGCTGCTGATATGACTGTGCACACTTTCTGTGCAATGGTTCTGACTGAATTCCTCTTTTCTCTCAGGGTCCAAATTGCCTGCTTTCCTTTCACAGCCATATTTCTGGCCCTGCGGCTGGTTTATGTCTGACTCGAAAGGCAAGAGCCAAGGTTAAACCCGTGAGCACATTCGTGGCTTCTTTAAGTGCACGACCGATGCCTGCTCATATGAAACACCTGCCAGCCAAGTGTCCCAATCCTTATTCTCACCTAATTTGGCGCCACTGAATACAGAAAGTGACATTATTCTAAAACGGTTAAGCATACACCCTTTAAATTACGTATTAATTATGATCTGTTTCTGCCTTCCATTCGTCTTTAAATCACAAATCCAAACTGTTTGATTATACACCAGAAATAACAAGCTAGATCTCAATGTCCCAATTCCTCTCTAAGGTACTGCTGGCCATCGTAAGCTCTGTGAAGGGCATGAAACCCAGTGGCGCACAGGAAATGCGATCCACTCACACGAAGCTGATGAGGGAACAGTTTGGCTAATAGGCTTCTAGGCTGCCGCTGCCTTTTGCGTTCCAAGATGGGAGACTAACCGACAGCATTCTTGCGACGGGCCGTTCTGAATTTCTCAGCTTGCTGTGGAGCTGGAAATCAGATTTCCAGGTCAAAGGTGGCCCTGGGTTTGAGCCAGACAGATTGCAGGGTGGGTTTCTCACCACCATAGCCTATTCCAGCCCTCATTCCAGGAAATCAGAAACGTTTATATGCTTGCATAAGACCTATAATTTGTATGTACATATATTAAATGTCTGCCATTCATATATAGCACTGTTGCCTCATATGTTCAAGGCTGTGGGTCCAAATCCCACCACTGCTCTGTGTGCATGTGGGGCTTGCATGCTCTGTCCCAGTTGCTTGGTTTTCCTCCAACAGTCCAAAGACACGCAGTCAGACTATAGTCCTGCATTGGACTGGCGTCCCATCCAGGGTGTTCCCCAGCCTGAAAGAAAGACAGTGTTATATATTAAGGTATAATACAATCATCTCACCTAACAGATGTTTAAACAGAGCAGACATCTTTGATCCACTAGACAGTTGTATTCATTGTACAAATAATGGATGCATGAAGAACTGTCTGGAATGCAAGCAGGGGACAGCAAGTGAATACACAGCTCTGTGGTTATGCTGGGAAATGAGGGGGTCACAGCAAACCTTAAAGGCACTTCTGAGGATAATGGAGGGCAGTGTGCACATGTGCAGTCATGTGTGTGTGTGTATGTGTGTGCGTATGTACATTTGTGTGGGTTTGAATGCAAGTGTGTTTGTGTGTGTATGCATATATGTGTGATTATGCAAGTTTGCATATGTGTACATTTGTGCGCGTACGTGTGTGCACATGAGTTTTTGCACATTTGTGTGCATGCATGTGGATGTGTGCACTGTATGTGAGTGCGTGTCTGTCTGTGTGAGCGCACATGCATGCAATTTTGTAATTATTACATTTATGGGGACTGGATTTCCCCACAATGTGATAAAAACCTGTAACTGTTTACCTTGGAGGGACATTTTTTAATAAAAAAAATTATAAAGATATGTGAATGCAATCAAAAAACTAAAAATGCCAAAAGTCTTGTATTCTGCTTGGTTACTCATGGGTAAGGTAGGATTAAGGTTGCCATTGTTGAGATTAGTGTTTTTCCCAAATCAATGCATGGAGAGTTTCTATAAAGATACGAATATGTGGACTTTGCATGTGCATCGCATGTGTGTGTGTGTGTGTGTGTGTGTGTGTGTGTGCATGTGTCTGTGTGTGTACATGTGTGCGTGTGTGTGTCCGTGTGTGTGCATGTGTGCGTCTGTGCGTGCATGAGCAGCCTTCCTTGTGGTTCCAGGTCCCTGTACTGAATGAAGGGATCTTCGGAAATGCAATTATATGAGCTCACTGCTCTGTGATTTAACGCTCACCGCTAAGAGTCCCGGCCGGCTGCGCACAGGCTGCCGCAGCGAGCAGGACACATGAGCCTCCCCTGAGCGAGACGGTAGCAATTGGCTCCATATTTCACCAGAAGGAAACAGCTTTAAAAGGGCCGCATGCGAGCGCAGCACCGTGTACCTTCCTGGGCTGCTGATGCAGGAGTGTTTTTTTAAGGCTCCGCAGAGAGGTGCTCCCTGGTTTCGGAGCTCCGCCAAGTTCCTTCGTCCTTCCTGCTCCTGCCTCGGGCTCCTCTGACACCGGGTCGGCCGTGACGCCTTACTGTTTTTAAAATGTCTTTGGGGGGATGTCGACGAGCAGATTTATATTCCTTCTGATGCGTGTTTCTCGCCCAATATAGAGGCAGTTATATTATGTCAAGCGCTGCGGCTGTCAGGCACTTCTGTGCCCCGTTTCGGAATTTCTGCCGTTTACTTAATGGATCTGCTTTGACACGGAGGACCAGGGGCTTCAATGAAAGGCTTTCGATTTTTTTTAAATCCGGACATATATTCTTAGACAGTTTTATCCTGCACACTCACAAACTTATATATCTGAATGGACTGCTGACAAAAAAATACTAAACTAAAATACAGAACCCCCCAAAGCCCTTCTGGTATCGCCTGTGAATGTATTTTTCTTGTTTTTCTGATTCATATAGTGAATCGAGCCGTGCTCAGATGAATAGATGTTTAGATAAACTGTTGTGTTCCTATCATGAGAAATCAGGAATCACCATAATTAGCTCCCAACGTGTAACAAAAGCAATGACCAACTGAACTGCATTTTCTCTGGATTGTCAGTAATATTTCTTTATCAAGACTGTGTCTTTTAACACATGATAATGCTTAGCACATTGTTTGACGTGTTCACTTGCTGCAAATCCATTTGCAATGGGGTCCTCTG